TTTATTTTCCACTTTTTATGGAATATACAGATAGATAGTATAATAATGTATGAGATATGTCAAGGTATCTTATTAATGAATATAAAATGCCAGATGTATTAAGTAAATTTACTAAATTTACTAAATATACTTTCAACAGGTAAGTCAACTGTAGATATAAATCTAGATGTACTCTTGTACACACTTTTGGAGACATATTTCTAGGCCTTTAGTATATTTGTAGGTTCTTGCACTACCCTCCACAGTATGGATAATGAGTAAGAATGAACTAGCTGCCACCTCGACAAAATCAAAATCATTTAGACTTACTAGTCAATGGTCTTAGTCAGAGTGAAACATTGTCACTCATTTCAGTCTCTTAAGTGCGGGTTAATTGTATATCATTGCAATCACACAATCATGCCTTTTTATTATATAGGTACAGCATTATTGCACACTTTATGGATCTAACTTGAGATACAGAGTAATTTTAAATTAATCGCTCATTTGCTATTCTTGCTGACAGTCTGGTCCTGTTGACGGAACTCTGTCATTAACCAGCAGTAACATTGAACTTGTGAATGAAACTAGACAAGAAACAAAGATCAAGAAGACTGTTATTGACCTCTTGAGAACTCCTGTTATGAGGATGCGATCACTCAACATGTTTTTCTGTTGGTAAGTACAAAAAGTTCCAGATGAAACCAGAGAAGTGAAAAATTTGTCTTTAGTCGATGGGTTCCGGTAAATATTCACATTAGCTTTTCTTAAGAATCTAATAAAATAATATTGTTCCTTTAATAAGTACTCATTGCTAAGGTGATATTTATATGAAAACGTATGTAAAAAAAAATAATTAAATGTGGAATCTTATGAAAACTTAGTAGATGTTAATGTAGTGTAGCATTTAAAGTTATTTCATATATTCAAAAACGGAATTCTGCTTTTTACATGCAAATTTTAGTATGTAGTTTTTTATTTATTGATGTCATAAAAAAGTCAATGAGCATAAATAATATTATTTACAATACATTTTCCACTTTTCGCTTATTATTTATTTAACAAACTGGCCGCATCTCACCATGGCAGACCTTCCCAAAACAGAGAAATATTTAAAGTTACTCTTTTAATAGTTTTCTTGCCAGTAGAGTACACACATTCCTATTTAAAAGACGCTCTGGTATGCAATAACTGTACCCATCTTTCAGAGTGAACGACTTGTATTTTTTCCAACATTCAGTAACTGTTTATGTACTCTGTGTTAGCCAGGCACATTTCTCAGCAATAATTAAGTACCATACTAGATCATTTATAACAGCTCAGTTGAAATTGAGCGACTGCCATAATGTTCATTTTATATCTTTGTTATTATTTTTAATTATTATTATTTTTATTATTTATGGTCATGAAGGAGGGGCACTAAACTTAGAGGTCATACAGCACCTGGGCAGTAATGAGGTACGATCCATCCTTGGGTCAAAATTCCTTCATGCACTTAAAGGAATCTTCACTGAAAGGATATCTTTTGAAACTCTGGTTGTAAGAGTTGAATGTCTGCTTTCGATTTGGTACGTGGAAGGTCAACCTACCACTGTTTCTTGTAGTGAATGATTCACACGGGTTTATTTCGTCATATCATATATGATTTGCTGTTTCTCTTTTGCTTGTTGTCCACAGTAGAGGGGAAAGACCTGTGTGGCGACCATCAGTATGGTTACCTTATTTGGAAGGGTTGCCTTACCCCTCAAAGGCCAGCTCATGAAGTTATGTTTCCCTGGTAAACTCCTTTATTTCCACTTCCGGTTAATCATATATGTCTTTGGAGGTTTTCCTGCTATTACAAGCACGAAGTCGGCAGCACGCTAAGGAGGACTTCTTGTTGTAGATTAGTCGGTACATTTGCTAGCCCGAGACTTTTCCAGATGGTGACCCGGCTTTGTCTCCCTGGTTACGGGACTATATTGAAGGGCATGCCAGCTGCGATGCGAGCGCGGCTGATGAAACTGCTCACAGCAGCCAGTGTCAGGAAGGGCCGAGAAAGCGAAGATTACAGGGTCCAATGGAGCCACACCCCAGCTTAATTAAGGCCGTGGATTAAGTGCTGAGGAACATAGCTTCACGATGATTGGTGGATGGGAAGCGATGCTAGTGGGGATTAGCATTTTTGATGTTTCTGAATTTCGTCCAGGAGACGTGGATGATCCGGGTCAGGCTCTCATAGTCGGTAACGTGGTTCGCCGGTGGTGATGTTGGTAGCAGATGAAGGTTCACGCAGCCCTATCAGACTCTCAAAGAGTATTTGACAAGGCTGGTTCCTCTTTATGGAAATAAAAATAAAAAATCAATAATAACATAATAAGATAAACAATTGTATTAACTTAGTAAAGAATATGAAACACTACTTTTGTGCTCGCTAAGTCTGTCAGAAAGAGAACGGCCAGTTTCTCCAAAGTACTGAAGAGGACAGGAATAGAGTAGACACCAGGAGCATCTCAACAACTCTCTCCGTTCCATACCCCTCAAGGAAGGTTCCTTGATGTTGGTGAGGGGCTCTTGATTTAGGGAATTGGATCTGTGCTCCAGTTCCCCGAATTAAGCCTGAATGCCTTCCACATCCCCCCCAGACGCTGTATAATCCTCCGGGTTTAGCGCTTCCCCCTTGTCCGTTCCACAGACATCAAACTTACTTTCCGCCAGACTAACACTCTTCGCACTAATCTAGTTCATACCTCTCCTCCCTCTTCAGATGCTCCTGTTGTCTACTCTATTTCTTATTCCTCTTGTCCTCTTCAGTACTTTAGAGAAACTGGCCGTTCTCTTACTGACAGACATAGGGAGCACAAAAGTAGTGTTAGGCTTGCCGACACTAACAATGCTCTTTTCTGTCACGTCAGAGATCACAACCATCCTATTGACTGGTCTTCTGCTAAAACTGTCTTCCCTACTTCCAACTTCAACAGTCGCCGTCTGGTTGAATCCTCCCTAATACACAACTTTCCTTGATTGAATCTTAGTCCTGGCTTCGTCTCTGTAGATGCCTTCCTTTCCCACTACATTGTAAAATGCTCCAAACTTCAGAACACCCGTGACTTAACCTGATTCCTCCTTTTTCTTCTTCTCCCTCATCCCCTTTCCTCATTCCTTTTTCTCGTTTGGGTTGTCTTTCTTCTGCCTTGGGTATGTGTTCCTTCATTATTTATTTATTTATTTGTTTATTTATTTTATTTTATTTCCCCCCCTCCTCTGTGATCTTGCTCTTACCCTATGTGGGCACCTACCTCCCTTGCAGTGCTCCTCTTTCTTAGTATCAGACTGGCTCCTCCTCCTCCTCACTACTTTCCCCACTGCTATTATCATCTACCTCCACTACTGCCACTACCTCCTCCTCCTGCCTACATATACTCCCTATTTCTTTACTTTTCGTTAGTGTGATTTTGTAAATGGTCCAAGTCGGACCGAAACGTCGTCGTAAGCTCATCTCTTCTATGTGCGGGTTATATGTGCATCGTTCCAGTCAAGGTATTGTGCCTATTTTTGTTATTTAAGTGAAATATATAAATAATTATTGATTCGAAGATAAAATGTACACAATGACGTAGTGGAAAACGGTACCGTGCCGATGTTCTGGGCACGTAGCTCTGAATCGTGGTTTAGAACACCAAGCCATTGTTGATGATGTGGAGGGGCCTGCAGGTGGACGTGACCCTTGAAACAGAAGACAGTGTCCTCAACACGAGTAGAAATTCGGACGAACAGAGGTTGACTGTGATCCTCTGACCACCACAACACTTGTGAAGCAGTTAAGTTGCCAGTATAGATCCACCATGAAACGTTGGTGGAGTTATAACTGGGAGAAGGCTGCTGGAATGGTGTGTACCTGTCTGGGTGGTTGGCTACGTGTGGAAGGGGGACCATTGTAGGTAGAGATGTCAAAGTGATGTCTCAGATATGTAAGGATCTAGGCTGCCCTTCTGTATCTAGTTTCTGTCGAATGGCTCGAACCGACAGTCAAGGCTAAAATTAGGAAAACACCAATCTAGAAATTACTCACATGATAGGCGTACAGCCTTTAAAAGAAATGGTGAGAATTAAAAGATGATGTAACACTACGCAAATTCAAATCAAGGCATGAATAAATTGGAGTCTAAAACACTAAACAAGAGTGAAGCTTACTGAAACCAACTTAATCCAAAACATATAACTTTTACAGGAGTGGAACAAAAACAGATTTGATGGGAGCCGCAAGTGACTGACCGCCAGTCGGAGATGCACTCATCACCTCGAACCGGGTGCAGAAGGGATGGGGGGAGCAGAAACTGTGTACTCACACTAACTGCCCACCAAACTACCATCACCATTTGTTCATACTTCCACCACTTCTATCTAATGAACTTCTCCCTCACAGAGGAAGATGGCGTGGTGGTGATGGATGCTTCAGTTGGTGATGAAGTTTTTCTTTTGTGCCTGCAAATTAGTCTGGGTGGGGTGAGGTCTCTGACTGTTCCGTTTCCTTGATGGAGGAAGGCAGTGGGAACATCTCATTGGTCTTATTTTTATCTAATACTTCATCTGATAAGTTAATTACAAAATTGTTATTAGAATGCTTTGTCCAATCACTGTTTTCAATTAAAACTTCTAATTTTCTATGTAGTTTGTTTTTGAGATCATTACAAATTCTTCTGAGTTTATTATAGCAATGATCCAACAAACTATGTTTCCATTCTGATGGAATGGCCTTATTAAAAGAGTATTTTTTTGTTTCTCAATATTATGAATGCTTCCTTCTCTTGTATTTTGGTAATTTCAATATGTTTCTGAAGAGTAATTCTAACAAAATCATCAAAAGGAAGATCTTTCATCCAAGGAGTCTATTTGATAAAAGACATTTGGGTAAAACTTGTTGATGATATTTTGTGTCTTATGCCTAAGAATATAGATATCAATCTTCCTTGTTAAATTAATTAGTTTAGCCCATTCCATAAGCTTTACTGTTGAGTTCGAAGCAAATAACTCATTGCCTTTTCTAGATGTTTTAATTATTAAGGGTAACAATGATTTTAAATTTAAAATTTACAGAACTCCTACAAATAACTGTTCTTATGTACACTATTATTCTCCACATCAAGAGAGAGTTAAACTCTCAGTATTCTTATCAGGGTTTTTGAGAGCTTTACGTATATGTAGTCCAGAGTTCATAGATAAAGAAATATCCAAAATTTATGAAATAGCTAATGATCTAAAATATCCACGAAACGTAAATGATAAATCTTCTAAAGTCCCTAGAAATACTTTTTACAATCCAAAAAGGGGCAACCAACCTTATTCAACTAAAAATATGTTGGTTCTCCCTTACCATGAAAACTTGGTTGATATGCCTTCTCCTCTTAAGACTTTTAATATCAAAGTTGTTTTTAAAAATCTTGATACAGTAAAAAAAAACTTTTGATAAAAAATTCCCCCCAAAATGCTGACGGATGTGTCTATAAGATTCCTTGTAAAATTTGCGATAAAGTTTATTACGGTCAAGCTGGTAAAAATCTTGAACTAAGATTAAAACAACATAAATATAGCATTGAAAGTGGACAAGATTCTAATGCTCCATTTATTCATGTGAGAGATTTTAACCCTCAAACTGATTTTCAAAAGGCTGAGAAAGTTGTATCAAGCAAGTCCATGGT